AATGGATAAAAATGATGATGCCCAACATCACCAATAAGTAGAAAAAGACATTATAATAGTGTAGCAGACATGTGCATTGTTAGCCACTACTTGCTAATAAACAAATAAACACATAAAACATAATATGAACAAGAATCCTGGATTGCTGGTGATGAATATCAGGTAATGGCTTCATTATTTTCTGCACTGTTGTGTAAGTTTTAGAATCTTTATAATAAAATATTTACAATAAAAAATTGAGTGTGCCAGTGACAATAAAAGGATCATATTTAAATATCATGTTTTAAGTATGAGTATTCAAATAGATTTGTAGTGGAATATAAGAGATTTTAGTGAATTTTTCCAGTGAAATGTAAATGATTAAAATGGCCCATGAAGAACCTAAAATCCTTAATCACACAATATAACCTGAAACTATTGTCCAATGCAAGACACCATCAAAATGTTAAGGGGCTAACCAGGCTTAGCGGCATGTTAATCAAATGGTGAAGCAAACACTAATCACCACCTCTTGTAGATTCTTCTAAACTATAAAAAAAGCCTGGGAGTTATTCATCCATTCCTCAGGCTACCTATCCTTGATACAATGAGCAGATGAGGACCCTTCAATAAAACGACATGTCGGCCATGTTCACTTTAAATAGAGACAAATATCTTTAAAAAGAAAAAGATTTATTTATTTATGCTTACAGAACTGGGGTACAGGTGTGGTGGGTGAAAGGATTCGCCAGAGACAGAGTGGGGAGCAGAACAGGCAGATTGACAATGTACAATGCTGACGGGAGCAGCGGGCGGGTCAGAAGAGACCTGCCATGACATGAGGGACACTCCCTGGCCGGGATTGAACTGGTGCTACAGTGGATTCAGAGAGCTTCATAATGCGGTGCTTTAACCTGCTGCACCACCAGGGAGGGCCCGAGACAAATATTCTTAATAAATTCACAGCATTTCCAATACAGCAATGAATTAACATTAGAAAATACTGTCAGCTAGAAAGCATGATGTTAGCATAAGAGGGATGAAGTATGTGAAGGTGTGAAAGAATAAGGAAAAATCCTTTGACAAAAATTCATACCAGTGAATGAAAATAACAGCAACCTACATTAGAAGAGAATTTGCATTTGCTAAGATCTATAGTGGGCAGACTAAATGTGAAACGTTACAAGCCTGCCCAGTAGAGTCCAGCAGCAGACAAAGATAGGGTTTTTTAAGTCTATATTGCCAACTGGATGAGAAAAATGGCAAATACCAAAATAAACAATGGTAAGAATAATGACAATAGAAATAATGGTGATGACAATATGATCCTTCCAATTAAAAAACCAAAACAATTGGTACAGATTATCTAGCTATATAAGGAACTTTAGAAAGCTTGTGCATAAAAGATCACTTTATCAAAATTGGAAATTTGGCCAAACAAATTGCTAACAAATTAGAACATGTAATAGACAATATGCCATTCACAACCACAATATCCAAAATATACCTTAAAAAACTGCATAGAAATGTACGCATTCTTGACGAAATAACTCAAAAATTTGATTGATAGGCTTCTGAAAAAGAAGTCTCAAAAAAGTAATATACTTCTTATTAGTGGGAAAGAGAATACTGTAAAGAAGTCAATTCTCATGAACATATTTAGAGTTTTATTGTCTTACATATAACTGCAAAGAACAATAACCAAACTGCTATTTCCAATACTCAAAACCAACCTTGGAAAAATAAAGGCATAACAACAAACAATATATTAACAGCATCAGCAAGAAAAAACTATAAACTCTTAGGGAACACTAACTCTGTGTTGAACTCAAAAATGTGTGCGGGCTGGAGTGTGTGTGGTGGGGCGGTGTGTGTGGGGGGGATGTTCTGCGGTTGAGACTGGTTTGTAGCCTGCAGTAGAAGCAGATGATAGAATTGGATAAAGCAGAGTATTTAAGTACAGGTCTTGTGTGCCCTCCCTGGGGCACAACTGGTTGAAGCAGAGCACTGCAAGGCTAGCCGGAGACACTTCAGCACAAGTTCGATCCCTGGCCAGGGAGCTAACTCACATGGCGTGGCAGACCTCTACTGCCCTGCCTGCTGCTCCCCTCAGCAGTGTGCTTCCTTGATCTGCTTGTTCTGCTCCCCACTCTGTCTCTGGGGAATCCTCTCACTCCCCCTGTACCTCTGGCCTGTACCCCAGTTCTGTATGCATAAATAAATGTTAAATAACTATAGGCCTTGTTTCCAACAGTGCACCCTGGAAAGTGAATGTCTACTCTTCTTCGAAGGGATCTGAATCTTATACCAGGACCATAAGGTATTATCAGAAAGGCACCGACGTTTGTGTTGGTTGAGTCCAGAGGCTGTGCTAATAACCTGAACATTTTTTTTAAAGATTTATTTATTTGTGCATACAGAACTGGGGTACAGGCCAGAGGCTCAGGGGCGGTGAGAGGCTTCACCACAGACAGAGTGGGGAGCAGAACAGGCAGATCGATGAAGTACATTGCTGAGAGGAGCTGCGGGCATGTCAGGAGAGGTCTGCCGGGCCATGTGGTCACCTCCGGGGCAGGTGGGAATTGAACTCATGCGGAAGGGGCTTTAGATTCTCAGTGCTGTGCTTTAACCCCCTGCGCCACCGGGGAGGGCCCAACCTGAACATTTTTAGAGGGTGTAGACTGACTAATTAAAAATCACCTTAATAGAATATATGGCATGAATTAAATTTGAACATCAAGGGCCCTCCCTGGTGGCACAAACAGTAAAAGCACAGCATACGAAGCTATCCCTGTTAAGGGGAAGGATGTCCTAAAGGAACTCTGCAGAGTCTTATGGACTCCACCCCCTGGTGGAGCTTTCTGGACACTACACCCACTCTCTCTGGTGAATACTGTGACCCCCCCATACCTCTGACCTGTATCCCAGTTCTTGTATGCATTAATAAATAAATCATTGTTAAAAATTGAGTATGAACCTTCACAGTAATTACACAGAAAGACCAAAAATTCACTCCAGAAACTTTTTAACAAACGTGTACCACGCAAAGCTGCCAGACTAAGGCACAGCCCACTTTATCATAGGGTAGTCCAGAACTTTAGTGGGGTGAATAAGGCCTGAAATTAGAAAGGGGACATATCATGGGCTAGCTAGAGTGAGTACAAATTTGCTTAATGAGGACCACTGAAGGGCTTCTGAAGACTGCACCCCACATTACACCCACATTCACCTTCAGCTATCTGTGAGAAGCCCCACAGAAGACGCCGGATAACCTTTAACTTGTGGTGCATTTTGGTTTGAGGGAGTTTATGTATTGGGATGAGTGTTAAGTCTGTGATCAGCAGAAGGGATATAACAGCACCAACAAGGATGAAGGTAAGATTAAGTAGTGCAGTTGAATGCAAAGAGAAGACAAAAAAAAAAATCGCCGTTCCCCCCCCCCATCCACTTCTTGACTGAGAATGGGGGAGCACCCAGAGTGGGGTATCTGAGGGAGATGTAATTCTTGTCTCAAGACCGCATGACAGGGCTCGGCACAAACAGAAAAAGAAACTAAGAGTCAATGAAAATCCGATTGCAGTCCTGCAAGAATAAACCCCAAAATCGCAGCCTCTTCAAAACAGCCACACCCCCCTCTGACCATGGGTCATTCTGGAGGTCCTGCCCGGAAGTGGCCCTCTCTGACTTCCCGGTAAACGCGCTGAGGGAGCCGAGGTCCACTGTGACAGCTGCCGGCAGGAGTTACAGAGCAGGAGTCTGCAGACTCGGCAGGTGTGAACACATGATGTGTCCTCAGCGGGACGGCGGGGGTGCCCGGCCCCCCAAACCCCAATCTCTTCCAGCCTCCCAAGGTGGCCGCGAGACCGGGCCCCGGTACCGCTCCCCACTCTTGGCCCAGAGACCCCAGTATGGCTGCTCGGCCCAAAGTGGGTTTGCCGCCCAACGGGACAGCGGGAATAAAGGCTTTGGTCCACGGTGGCGGGGAGGGATCCCGGGTCTCTGGAGGGACATTCCCGGGGCCCGAGGAGGACCCCTGCCTAGGCGGCCTTCGTGAGAACTGGGGAGACGCCATAGGCCAGACGGGCCTCTCTGGGTGGCGTTGGTGATGGAGGCCCCGGAGGGTCAAGGCAAATGGACGCGCCTGTGCTCGCTCGCTCGGGCCTCCGCCAA